CCCGAGCAGGGGGGAAATGGTCAGGGTGAGGGGAGGGAAGGGAGGGAGAGAGGAGGGGGGAAATGGTCAGGGTGAGGGGAGGGAAGGGAGGGAGCGAGGAGGAGGAAGAGAGTCGAGAGGGGAGCTGAAGGCACGGTCAAAGAGAAAGGTTTTGAGACCGGCCTTGAAGGAGGAAAGGGAGGAAGCAAGGCGAAGGCACTGGGGGATGGAGTTCCAGAGCCTGGGGGCTGAGAGGCTGAAGGCCCGACCACCGATGGTAGGGCGGTTGGGGCGGGGGACGTGGAGCAGACCGGAGCCAGAGGAACGGAGGGTACGGGCAGGTAGGTAGGGGGATAGTAGGTCGGAGAGGTAGGAGGGAGCAAGGCCGTGAATGGCCTTGTAGGTGAGGATGAGGATCTTGAATTCGATCCTCTGGGGGATGGGGAGCCAGTGGAGGCGAGCGAGGGTGGGAGTGATGTGGTCCCGAAGCCTGGTGCGGGACAGTACACGAGCTGCAGAGTTCTGAATGACCTGCAGTGTGGAGGGAGGTGGCGGGAAGGCCGGCGAGGAGAGAGTTCCCATAGTCCAGCCTTGAGGTGACAAAGGCGTGGACCAGAGTTTCAGCAGCGTGAGGGGTGAGGTAATGCCGTAGTCTGGCGATGTTCCGGAGGTGGTGGAAGGCGGTGCCAGTTGTGGTGCGGATGTGAGGGAGAAAGGACAGCTCAGGGTCGAACAAAACGCCGAGGTTCCTGACTGGCTTTGAGAGGTGGAGAGTGCAGCCTTGGATGCTGATGGTGTCAGCGCCTGAGGTGCGGAAGCGCTGACGTGAGCCAATCAGGAGGGCCTCGGTTTTTCGCACGTTGAGCTGAAGAAAGTTGTCTCTCGTCCAGGACTCAATGTCGGACAGGCAGTCTGTCAGGACATCGGTGGTCGTGGAGTTGAGAGTAGAGGAGGAAAGGTAGAGTTGGGTGTCATCCGCATACATGTGGAAGTTAACTCCATGTCTGCGGATGATGTCACCGAGGGGGAGCATATAGAGGGTGAAGAGGAGGGGACCGAGGACAGAGCCCTGAGGGACACCACATGAGACAGTACAGGGGGGTGGAGTGCTACAATGGAGTAGCAATGCAATGCTACTCTCGAGGACCACGAGGCACGTAGACAGATAAAGTGGATGAGATTATGGAAAGAGGCTTATAGAGAGCTGGCTGGTTACTAGCCAAGTGACGCGTCAAAGCACAAGACTGAGTGTGGACTTAATTGCTTAGAGGTGCACAGCTCTGATCAAATATGTATGTGGCTTTAGGAAAAATATTCTCCTCTGGAGCTCTGAAAGTTCACCTAGTCTTAGCTAATTTGTTTAGTCTCAGTCTATAAGGCTATTTTGTCTAAAAATGTCTCTCCCTCTAGCCCCTCCGCCTTGCCCCCTCCTTCCACATCTTCAGGTCACACCTGAAGACCCTCCGCTTCGACCATGCTTACGGTCACCACACCCCGCTCAGCATCGTGCTCGATCACTGTCAAGTGCTCTGCGTGAAGGTGACATATAAATGCAAGTTGTTGTTAAAATTTAGGGTTCTGCAGAAGGGTAGAAAATTCTTAAATTCACCCCGAATTTGGAAGCTGGTTTCTTCTGCAATTCTTATAAAGAAAAATTGGGAAATGTATTTTAGAGTTTTTCTCTATTCTGTGCCGTTTAAAATTGTAATACAAAGTGATTGGGTCTCATACAACTGGTTGACCAAAAAAAGACACAGTGATCTTACTGGTTAAGACTTAGTGAAATTTCAGGCTTCTGGAGAGGTTGATAATAATAATAATCATAATAATCATAATAATCATAATGATCTCTGCATCTGAACCAGCACTTTCACTTGGGATGCAGGTCTCAAAGCTCTTGATCAAAGCACTTCACAGGATTTAATATAAAGTGGAGTGACTATGTGTTGATGAATGAATAAATTGGCAGCCAATTTGCACAGAGCAATGTCCCACAAACAGTCATGAATGATCAATTTTATTTGGGGGATTGCCAGCCAGGACACTGGGAGATGGAAACTCCCTTCTCTTTTCGCATAATGCCATGGTATCATTAACTATCCATCTGAATGGGCAGATGGGACCTCAGTTTAACATTTGGGCGGTCCCAGGTCGGAGTTGGACCGGTGGGAGGTGATGGTTGGCTCGGGAAGGCCGCAAGATTTCCGGGCCGCGGTCTAGCCGGAAGAGGTGAAGCTTGGGGCTCGAGTTGGGGCCCCATGTGGGGTTGGGGGGTTAGCCCCTCCCTCTCTATTGTTTAGCTCCTCACCCTCCTTATGTATATAATTGTATATAATAATCTATACGAATAAAGGTGCAATGTCTGTCTGTGTGTCTGTCCGCCAATAACACAATAACTGATTGACATAGACATAATTTATACCTCACCGGAAAGGTCTTTCATGGGAGAGTGTCATGGGCATACTTCTTTTGAGGGGTAGCTCCTATCATTGATGAGCTGTGACCTAAACAAGCTCATCACACATGTATGGCAGTTTGGGTTAAGGTGTGTACACAGGGTTTATGGCATGTTAAATGCTTTGTGAGTTGTATCACTGAAATCTACATTCCCTATTGGATCCTTTGCTTGCAAGCACAGCTGTAACGGTTATAGCTTATGCATTATAAAATGCCGCAAACTTCGCCCCATTATTTCTTGAGTTGTTACTTCTTTAAAGGAGCATCTTAGAAATCTATTTCGAACTTCGGGAGTGCGGTACCAAGGCTGGCCAGCCGGAGAGAGGCCAACAACATTGTGTATGTGTAAAGGGCCCATTGCCATGGTAACAAGAAACAACAACAAGATTGCCTCAACTGTCAAAAACGTCACTGGCCACCACTGAAAATGAATATTATAATGCAATTTGCATTCATATGGCGTCTTTCATGTCGGGAAGATGTCTCAAAGTCCTTAACAATGCTTGGTGGGCGCCCGAGCTGGGGGTGGGAGCTGCCAGAGGTGGAGGGCAAGGGGGGGGGGTTGGAGGAGGGAAGATGACCGAAGGCACAGTCCAAATGGAAGGCCTTGAGACAGGCCTTGAAGGAGGCAAGAGAGAGGCTGAGGTGGAGGGGCTCTCGGATGGAGTTCCAGAGGGTGCCGACGGCCGATAGTGGAGCAGCCAGGGTGGGGGATGTGGAGCAGGCCAGTGCCTGTACAGTGGAGGGAGCGGACAGGTTGGTGAAGTTTTAATAGGACACAGGATCTTACGGCTTTCAGGACTCTTTTAGGTAAACAGGGAGGGAGAGTGTGTGTATTCCACTCCAGACATGAGGAATTCTCCATGTATGGAGGTAGCATACATATGGAACTCAATCTGGTTTGAATACTCGTAAGAATTGTGATGGGTTGCTGTGTGTATCAGACATCCCGCTGACAAAAAAAGGAAAAGTCCCGGAGTTCCAAAATGCAGCATTGTATCCACATTGGAAAGGAAATCCAGAACAATACTCGCAGATACATCCGATAGAATTGGTCATTCATTTAATGCTGTTTGTGGGCAAATGGGTTGCCGCATTCTCCTATAAATACAGTCACTACACTTCGCCATAAAATCCTTCAAAGCACTTTAATAATATTAATCCTTGCTTTGATATTGCGCGGTATCACATCATCAAGACAACTCAAAAGCGCTTCCCAGATATATTGTAAAGTGAATTGACTGTATTTTGTGGACGCAGATGGCAGACAGTTGCACACAGCAGTGTCCCACAGACAGCCATGGAGTGAGTGACCAATTTTATTTTGGGGATTTATTAGCCAGGACACAAGGAGAAACTCCCTTCTCTTTTTGAATAGTGCCATGGGGTCTTTAACAACCACCTGCAGGTAGACGGGACCTTGGTGTAACATCTCATCCGAAAGACTTCAACTCGACATGCAATACATCCCCAGCACTGCATTGCAGTGTCAGCTTAGACTATGTGAGTTCAAGTCCCAGCGTGGGATTTGAACCCCCATACTTCTGACTCAGAGACGAGACTGCTATACCAAGTACAAGGCTTATTATAATATGAAAGCGGTAAAATTCATTTGCCCTTTTGATGAAACACAGTGTTCAAGTGCGGCCTTTTTGCTGGGATACCTTTGATTCTATAATTCCCACATTGGACCAGCTGTGTATGAGGATCAATGGATGACGCTTAAAGACTGGTTAACATCAATAGAAAAAAGAAAGTTAGGCTTGGTTACAAAGCCACCAATTTGCTATTGCACAGTTGGAGCATGATACAGTTGGCACAACATGAGTGGAAACAGCATATACATTAGATGGCAGGAAGGTGATAATTTTCAGTGCTTACTGATTTTCACTCTCCGAATCGTGAGCTGTCTGTGCAGCCACCCAACATCTGAATATGTTAAACAGCAGAGCAAGAAAAGTTAAGCAATGAAATTGCAAACTCGTTCATCGATCCCATCTTGGTGGAGTCCTGTACTGTGTTGATTAGAGCACTCGCCTCGCAAGTGAGAGGACCTGGGTTTGATTTTAAACCGAGGTCCAGTCTGCCTCTTCAGGGGGATGTTAGTGCCTGTGGCACTATAATAATAATAATAATCATTGCATTTGATGTAGCGCCTTATCACGCCTTCTAGACGACTCAAAGCGCTTCACAGAATATACTGTAAAGTGAATTGACTATGTTTTGTGAGCGAAACGTGGCAGCCAATTGCTCGCAGCAGTGTCCAACAAACAGTCATGGATTAAGAGACCACATTGTTTTTTGAAGGAATTATTACCCCCAGAAAGTGATCCGCCATTCGACTAACAACCAGCTTCCTATTTACTGCTCGGGAATGGAACCCTGGTCTATCGCTTGTGAGGCAAGTGTTTTAACGACTAACCTATGGCGAAAAGAAAAGGGAGTTTGATGTGATAAGGCATTACAGCAAATGTAAGGATTATTATTTTGTGATATTATGAGAACACAACATTTTTTAACAAGGAGATTTATGTGCTTTTATGTGTCATTCTTATATTTTGTAGGGGCAAGGGACCACTAAAAAATACATCCGATGTGATCAATGCAGCCAAGAAGATTGCTGAGGCTGGGTCCAGGATGGATAAGCTGGCTCGAGCTGTTGCTGACCAGGTGCTGTATTAATGGAGTTATTGAAATGCTTTTCACAGGGTATTCAGTGATGATTAATCCAAGTGGCTTAAAGAAACAGGTAATGAGAGAGTTTATGAGTGGAGCATGCGATAAGATGCTTCCCCCTTGGTTTATAAAGATTTATAAAGAATATGCAGCACGGAAACAGGCAACTCGACCCATTTGGTCCATGCAGGTGTTTATACTCCACCCATCTCTCCGCCAACTGCTTACCCCCTACTATATCCTTTTCCCTTCTCCCTCATATATGTATCTACCTTCCTCTTAAATGTATCTCATTACCCTCTGTGTGAAGTAGTTCCTCCTATATTCTCTTTTAGATCCCCTAGTCGCTATCGTATTGCCAACAAGTGGGAACCGCCTATTTATTAATAACCTTAGCGAATTTTGAATAGCTCTAAGAGATTTAAACGTCTCTCTTAAACGTCAACAATCTTCCAGATAAAGTTGCATATGCACCTTATGGCTGTTTGTGGGACACTGCTGTGTGCAGATTGGCTGCAGCGTTTGCTACAAATCCTCAGTCACTACGGTTCACTGTAAAATCTTGTGAAGCACTTTGAGATGTCTCAAGACATGATAATGGAGTCTCGTGGAGTCCTGTAGCTCAGTGGTTAGAGCACTCGCTTTGCAAGCGAGAGACCTGAGTTCAATTCCAAGCAGAGGGTGAAACCTTGGGCAAGTTTCCTTACTCCACACGCCTAATAATAATCCCTCCAAAACCAAAAACAATAATAAATTGGTCATTTTCAATCTACGACTGTTTGTGGGACATTGCTTTGCGCAATTGGCTGCCGCGTTCGCCCACAAATATACAGTCAATTCACTTTACAGTGTGTTCTGTGAAGCGCTTTGGGACGTCCTCCCGACGTGAAAAGCGCTATATCAAATGCAAGGATTATTATTATTATTAATGTGCTATATCAAACGCAAAGTTTATTATTATTATTTCAAAGCACAAGGATTAACATGAAAGATTCTTGGGAAGTAAAGTTTATAAAGACTTGGGAGCAAAGACATTAAAGGGAGTAAAGAAAAGACAAAGGGGATGAAAAGAGCTGCCATGTACTAATAAACTGGTGAAGGAGGCTCGACAGGCTGAATGACTTCCTGTTTCTGTTATAAACGAAGATCTTTGTACTCGTACTCTTGTTTAATCCACTCTTGTTATGTGCACAAGGCATTTAATACTGTTGGTCAGAGGCAGCCTGGAAGCGGATCTGTTCTATCGATTCTCCTGTTCAGTAATGTCACTGCTTTAATGTAGCCTCTATCCCACATGTCATTGGAGATAGGACTCTGCATAAAATACATGCTCCCAATTTGTCACTGAGTAAACCACAGGACCCAGAGTAGATAAGACTGAGAGACACTGTGGAGGTTTATAACATTGTGGATTAGGCGGCAATTCGGAGGACTAAGTGTTCCCTTCAGTGAACAATTGTTTAGGTCATTCAATGTGTCTAGAGATCAAAAGAGAGATGTTCAGAGAAATATTTTTACACAGAGGATTATTAGGACATTGACAAATGCCTTATGAAAAACTGGTTGGAACATAATCCATAAATAGCTGTTGAAAGGAAGACAATGAAAAAATATATAAGAGTATGGGAAAGGGCAGGGAGTGGCACTAAACTGATCGGTCAGACAGAGATTTTTTTTCAGTCAGTTGGGTGGCTCACACAGGCAGAAACCCATCCCTATGTTTAAAAGTATCCAACCCAGAATGAGAATTCCAAATATGTACGTTACTGACAAATTTTGCTGTGTCTAGAATGAAATGCAGACTCTTCCTGGAGGGGCGCACCCTGCTTACCTAATTCCAGAGAGCATTAGGCATGTGTAATGCTTTACAAGCAGCCATCATCCCCCCCATCCTTAAAACACCCTCCCTGGACCCATTCCTGCTCTTAAATTACCGCCCCATCTCTAACCTCCCTTTCCTCTCCAAGGTCCTGGAATGAGTTGTTGCTTCCTCTCCCGCCACTCTCTTCACGAACCCCTCCAACTGGGTTTCTGTGCCACCAACAGCACAAAAACAGCTTTGGTCAAGTGACAAATGATATTTTATCCATCTGTGACCAGGGCTCCCTCTGCCTCCCCGTCTTCTTTGACCTCTCTGCTGCCTTCAATACCGTTGACCACTCTATCCTCCTCCACTACCTCTCCTCTCACCTTAACCTCCATGGTTCTGTCCTTGACTGTATCAGTTTCTACCTCTCACGCCATCTCCACTTCATTTCCACAAATAGCTAACAACAACAAAAACTTGGAGTTATATAGCGCCCTCTACGCCGGACGGTGTCTCAGAGCGCTTTACAGTTTAGGATCCCGGGGCCGAGCCAGGGGGAGGGGGAGGAGGGGAGGGGAAGATGACCAAAGGCGCGGTCAAAAAGAAAGATCTTCAGCAGAGACCTGAAAATGGGAAGGGAGGGAGCGAGACGAAGGGAGTGAGGAAGGCAGTTCCAGAGCCTCGGGGCATAGTGGCTGAAGGGCATGGCCGCCGAGGATGGAGCGGAGGACTCGGGGGACGAGGAGGAGGCCAGACCCGGAGGAACGAAGGCAACGGGTACTGTTTTGAGGAGAGAGGAGGTCAGAGAGGTAGTGGGTGCAGAGGAGTGCAGGGACTTGAATACGAGGGTGAGGATCTTAAAGTGGATCCTCTCTGGAACATGCAGCCAGTGCAGTCTGGCAAGGACTGGGGTGATCGGGGAGCGGAGTTTGGTGCGAGTGAGAATGCGGGCGGCAGAGTTCTGAGTGAGTTGGATTTTATGGATGGTAGTGGATGGGAGACCGGCGAGAAGGGCGTTGGTGTAGTCCAGCCGAGAGGTGACAAAGGCATGGACCAGAGTTTCAGCAGCTTTTGGCGGGAGGTATTGGCGGAGACAGGCGTTGCGACGGAGGTGGAAAAAGGCGGTGCTGGTAAGGGACCGGATGAGGAAGGATGATTGGAGGTCGAACCTGATGCCTAGGTTGCGTATGGGTTCGGAGAGTTTTAGGGGGAGGTCGGGTAGGTGGAGGAGGTGAGAACCATGAGATTTTAGACGTTGACAAGAGCCGAAGAGTATGGCTTCCGTCTTTTCAACGTTCAACTGAAGGAAGTTTGCGCTCATCCAGCCCCTGAGGTCTGACAGGCAGACTGACAGAACATCAGGGGACTTGGGGGTCGCAAAGAGAGGTGGAAAAGTAGAGTTGGGTGTCATCTGCATACATGTGGAAATGTACCCCATGTCTGCAGATGACATCCCCAAGAGGAAGCATGTAGATCAGAAAGAGGAAGGGTCCAAGGATGGATCCTTGGGGTACCCCACAGATGACCGGATAAGAGCGGGAGGAGAAGCCGTTTATGCAGATGTACTGCTGGCGGTTTGTGAGGTAGGTCTCGAACCAGGCGAGTGCGGTCCCACTGAGGTGGATGACGGAGGAAAGGCGGTGGAGGAGGATGGCGTGATCAACTGTGTCGAACACGACGGAGAGATTCAGGAGGACAAGGAGGCAGAGAGATCCCTGGTCACAGATAGAGAGGATGTCTTTTGTGACTTTCACAAGCGCAGTCTCTGTACTGTGGGCAGAGCAGAAACCAGACTGGAGGGGTTCGAAGAGGGAGTGGGAGGAGAGGTGTGCACGGAGTTGGTTGGCCACAACCCGTTCTAGAGCTTTTGAGAGAAAGGACAGGTTAGAAATAGGGTGGTAATGGCTGGGGTTTGAGGGATCTAGGGAAGTTTTTTTCAGGAGGGGCGTGATGACAGCAGTTTTGAGGGAAGCAGGGACTGATCCGGAGGAGAGGGACAGATTGATGATGTCAGCCAGTAGTGGGCAGAGGAGGGGGAGCTGGGTGACCAGTAAGTTGGTGGGGAGTGGGTCGAGGCAGCAGGAGGTGGGTTTCATGGAGGTGAAGGTGGGTGAGAGGGAGGAGGGAGAGATGGGGAGGAAAGAGTGTAGAAAGGGGGTGGTGGTAGGAGCAGATGATGAGGGTGACAGAGAGGGTGTGGTGGAGGGTGACAAGGGGCAGGAGGATGAGGCTGCCTGGCGGATGTTGAGTATTCTAGCAGAAAAGAAATCCATGACCTCCTCGCACTTGGCATTTCATACAAAGATTGAGGAGGCCTGAGGGGGGGCACGGAAGAGGTAGTGGGTGGTGGAAAAAAGGATTTGGGGATTGTTTTTGGCCTCCAAGATGATGTTGGAGTAGAAGGCTGTTTTTGCGCGTCAAAGAATGACGGTAGCTGTGGAGGTGCTCAAGCCACAGTTGGCGGTGAACTGTCAGGCCAGTTTTCCTCCATGTGCGCTCGAGCAGACGGGTTTGGGATTTTTGGCGGCGGAGATGGTTGTTGTACCAGGGGGCTTGGGTAGGTTTGGAGATGGTCCTAGATTTTAGGGGGATGAGGGAGTTGAAAGTGGAGGAGAGACGATCATGGAGCAGCTGGACGGCTGCTTCAGGATCTCCACGGGTGGAAGGCCAGACGGATAGGATATCTTATGATGAGAGGGCCTTTGTGAGGGTCTCAAGGGGTAGCCTTTTTCAAAGGCGATGGTTGAGGGCTTGGTGGAGGAGAGAGGGATGTGAGAGGAGAAGGAGATGAAAAAGTTGTCCGAGATGGCCTTGTCCACTATGCTGAGGTTGGAAATGTCAAGGCTGTGGGTGATGATGAGGTCAAGTGCATGACCACGGTTGTGGGTGGGTGAGTTTATATGTAGGGTAAGATTAAGGGAGGAGAGGAGCGCAGTGAAAATCAGCAGAAGTGGTGCAGGGGGAGTTTAGGTGGAGGTTGAAATCGCCCATTATGAGTTCCTCCTCTAGCTCCTGCACATTCTTGTGCAGCGTTCCTCAGGGCTCTGTTCTTGGTCCCCTCCTTTTTAGTATCTATATGCTCCCTCTTGGTGACATCAGCCACAGACATGGGGTCAACTTTCACATGTATGCGGATGACACTCAACTGTACCTCTCTGCCTCCACCCCCGACTGTTGGACCACTGCT